TGAAACTGGACTTTATTGGTGTATAGAACCTAATCGTACTTTATCAACTAGACCAGTTGTAGAAACAAAACCTCACAAAGATCATGTTATAGTAATGTTATGTTGTAATGCTAGTAGATCTAATAAACTAACAGCTGTTTTTATTAGAAAAAGTAAAACTCTACATTTGTTAAAAAAAAATTAACAAATCCTCACTTCCGATTAAATATTATTGGAATAAAACAGCATATATGCAAATTAGTATTTGGAATGACTGGCTTAAGACTTTTAACACTCAGATGTGACTTAAAAATCAACAAGTTATTCTTCTTTACAATGGTGCAACTACACATGTTCTAGATGAAGGAATTAGTCTTTCTAATATTAAACTTCATAAGTTACCACCTCATACTACTACGCATTTACAACTATGTGATGCTAGAATTATTAGAAGCTTTAAGGTATATACAACTATCTTTTATATTACTATTATTATACATTTTATTATTATTTTATTCTATTTTTTTTTTTTAATTTATAGATACAATATCGTAAGCTACTTCTTCAAAATTGTATTAAAGAATTTGATAAAAGTCAAGAAACAGAAAAGGATATATCTAAGGTTACAATAAAAAAAGCAATTAAATATTTAGCAAAAGCATGGGATACAGTTTAACAGATTACAATTGTAAATTGCTAGCAAAAAACTAAAATCCTTCCAAATATGAATAATAATATAGATATGAATTTATATAATGAAAAAAATGAGCGAGGAATTAACAAAATTCGAAATCTTATTGATCAATTAGCAATTACATATGAAAATCTAATTACTGCTGAAGAATATCTCGAATATGAAAAAGAAGCAGCACATCAAATGATGACTAATGAAGAAATTATACAAATTATAAATAAACCGGAGGATAATTTGAATATTGATAAAACTATCAAAATGTCTATTATTACTCATCATAAAGCATCTGAAGCACTCGAAAAGTTATTAATTATGTAGAACAAAGAGGTGACGAAATTAAATTTCAAGTTGATCAGATTAGAGCAATAAAAAAATTGCATCATCTAATGAAAAGAGAGGAATTTTATTCTAAAAAACAAGTTACGTTAAAGAATTTTATATAAACAAATTAGGAACAAGCATAAATAATGGCTTAACAGATAAATAACTTCCTATAATTAATAGCAAAATTATATAAAATTTTTATTCAATTTGTTAATATACTGTATTATATAACAGATATAATATAGAATATTAAATTTTCTTAAAAACTTTAATATATATAGAGATACAATAATGATTTTTTTTTTACGAATTAAGAAAATTTTTCTTATAAGTCGAAGCTAACATTCTGCAAAAGTAGAAATAAATATATAATGCTATAAATAAAGGTTACTGTTGATAGCTGCTTTACTATGAATTAAACCTGTTGTAATATTAATCAAATTCAGTTTTTTAAATGCTTTGTTACAACTCATATAGAGACTTATAATTTGTGTAATTTCAGGTTAAGAGATTTAATTTTTAGAAAAAAAATAAAGTTTATGCTTTATTTGTTTAATACATAAACGTATATTAAAAAAAATTGTGTTCAATCATTTATTATTAGTTATATATAAAAGCTACTTTTTATTAAATACAAAAATTGCAAATCAACACAAATATTGCATTTATATTTACTTAATCAAATAGCGGGCATGAGTATTTTTTGAAAATTGTGACCAAAAATATCATATATAAATCTATGCACATCTTGAAATAATATGCATCCCGCTATTATTATTTTGAAAAAACTGGATTCAAAAATAGGAATGTCAAAAAGTCTGTCAAAAGCCAGCCAACACTATTTTAAAGCTGATTCTGATCATAAAATACTTCCTTTTAAAGCTGATCAAATTTGAGCAGTAGACTACTTTTTTGAAAAAGATAATTGTTGTTGAGTTACTAAGCCTATTTGAACTCCACAAGACAGAAAAAATAAACAAGCTAATGAGATAAATAATTTGAGTTATGAAGAACTGAAACAACTCAAATCACTACAAATAGAACAAGAAAAAATAAAAGGTCAAATTAAAGAAAACCATTGCCAATATCAGGAGGCAGAAAGAAATAGAAATGCTCAAAAAGCTGCTGAAATACTACAAGTCATTAAAAAGTTAAAACCTAATATGAGCAAGTGGTAAGTCAGATCATGAATAATTCCTGAAATAAGGCAAATGAATATGATTTTAGTAGTGAAATTGAACAAATATTAAACGTTCTCGAAGGTAAATTAAATCCTAATGATACTTTACCTACCTCTAATACATACTTTGGTCAAAATTTTAATTCTAATAATCAACCTCTTCTTAACGCTCCAAGAGGCTTCGCCTCCCAACCAAATAACTTGAGTAGTACAAGAAGACCTTGAGAAGATCCAGGAAGTTTAACTAAAACACTAGTAAATAAACAGCATCTTATTCTCATTGCTAGTGCTATTTTGTTAATTATTTTCTTTCTTTACTCTCAAAAGCAGACAATTATTACAACTTCTAAAATTATAACAAACTTAGAAGAAATAAAAACTAAACTTAGTGAATATACTAAACAATTAGAACCATATTTAGAACCTTAACAACAAGAGGCATTACTGTTGGCTCTAGCTGCTCTTTTACTAGTTTCTATTTATCTTCTTATACAAAAAGAGAAGCCTGAGCCAAGGAAACTAACAAGTGCTGAACAGAAGAAAATCGAAGACCTATCTGGTTTTTAAATAGTCTGAGTCTAACCAAGCAGTTTAGTATTCAATATAGATAATTTCGAAAGCAGAATGCCAAAAGTTTTGCACATGATTCACTTTTATTAAATTTTATTTAGACTAGTTTCCCAAACCCAGTCTGAACTAGTCTTTTGTATCCTATTAAACTTTTCTACTCAGAAAATCAGTCTATATATTCAAAATAACTTATAGGCGTACTCAAAATAGCATATAGATGTTCACTATTTTGAGAATTTATAGTATATTTTTTAATACTAAATTTTAATATAATATTCACTATAGTTAGATAATAAATAATTTTTAAAAATTCATTGTACAAATTTGCAAATATTTTTTAATACCAAATTGTAACCCTTAGATTTAGTGATTCATTATATCAAGCTTCAACTGTATACTCTAACTTCAAGAGTTATTTCACTTATTATTATTATTAACCAATTTTTACTATTATTTATTGTTTTATTAAATACATGAAAATTTAATTAATAAAGAGTGTAGTAACTTAGTGAAGTGGTGAAGTTGTCACACCCCCAAGTGGTAGAGTATAAGTTTAATTCCCACAGAAGGCAAAAAGTTGAATTTAAAAAAATGGATTTAGCAACTATCGTTATAACTGAGAAAACTCAAAACCTGTAACTGTAGTTGTACCAAGATAAAAATTGAAAGGTTCTGAGGCATTTGTATAATAAAGGAGTTATACAAAGGCATGCAAGCCAGTTTAGTCAGTACAAACCCAAGATAAGTCCTTCAGAATTGCAGAAAGTCACAGGGTTAATATGACAGTGAGGCATTTGCTTGAAAAGTTTTAAATAGAGAGGTAGCACAAATCTTCAATAGTACTACATGCAAGATTAATATCTGGAGAACTGGATAAACTGAACAGAACTGAAGTGTTTGGCAAGGCACTCTACTAACCAGGCTGCTAGAGAAGTAACCAGAGGAAAAGAACCTAATTATAGGGACTAGGAGCAGGTCATAGCCCTTCTGAGCTATCTGAATTGGTAGTTTAGGATAGCTGAAAAACCGAAAAAAGTCTGTAGATATACCAGGATTTGTGTGAACTCTATAAAGGCAGTAGTAGATAACTGTAGCAATCTTGACTTGCAAGTACTTGTTCTCAGACTCAGCGTAAGTTACCAAAGAAGACTAGACAATATAGGAATAGTAGGTACCAGACTGTTCTAGCAGGTGATGCACTCAAGAATGAATCGGTTAAGCATGCCAGTAGTCCTATAAGTAGACGTGATGATCTTGAAACTTGGACTGACTTATATATCGCATGTTCTGAATAAAGTTAGATGGATTGACATAAGAAACTCAGATTAGAGGGTTTAATTAGGTAACTCAAGTAATAGTGGGTTACAGATACAGCATCTAGTATAGCATCTAGTATATAAGTAGAATATTTAATTAGGCATCCAAAAGGTGCAGATATGGTTAGAATGTATTCTAGTCAGAATGTACTTGTTTTGAGCTCCTTTGATAAGGGCACCATATGATCCTAATATCTAATAAAAGCGATAAGCCGAAGAGGCTAACCTTAAAAAAAAAAATAAAAAAAAATTTAATTAATACTTACTAAACTATACCAATTTATTTTGCATTCATCATCAAAACCGCTAATTGTAACATTTGAAAATATTGGCTTCCTATAAAAACTTGATATGATACAAATTATATCAGTACTCTTCAAGATAGCAGAAGAAAACATTTTTATACAATAATTTTTGTTAAGAGACATGATCGATTCTTTTTCAAAAATTCATCAAGACCACTTAATAAGTTTTGAAAGCTTTCAAGTTGTAGTGGATCTAGATTATTTTGGTTTTTCTCAAGGAAATTATCCAGATTCTTCAAATTTAATATCCACAAAGATTGTCTAAACCTTTTTGTTTGTTGATATTTCTTTTGAGCTTCTTTTTCAGTTAATTTTTGTCATTAAACCTAATAATAGCGATTATTCACTGGTTAAAAAAAAAAAAATTAAATTTTAATTAAATAATAACTTTTACTATAAGTTATATTACAAGTTATTATTTAATTAAAAT